TCAGTGCCAGATGAAGAACTTTTAAAATTCCCCCAGGTCTTTTAATATACCTTTAAAATCTTCTTAAAGATACAGGCATCCCAGTGCTGTGTGCTGATTATTTTTAATTATTTAATTAATAATTTAATATTTAACTATTTTTAATAGTTAGGTTGCAAGATTCCTTTCAACAGAAGGCTGGCATATCAAATGTTTAAAGTAAAGAAATGTATTTCTTCTTATCCACCCCCCAATGGATCTATGCATCTAGATGAAATGCAGGACTGAGATATGAATAAGAATGCATTCACATTCTCATTAGAGCCATGGAACAAACTGACCTTACTCGATTCATCCTGCTGGGTCTCTCATCTGCACCGGACTTCCAGGGACTCCTCTTCCCCATTTTCCTCTCCTTGGGTTTCTGGGGAACCTCTTATTTTGTTGTGAATTGTATTAAAGGCTGATATATAAAAACTGTTATAATAAATGAATTCATAATATAATTAGTTCTTTATTTACATTCACAGGGTGACTTACAGTAATATTAAAACACATGGCAGAGCAATCCTAACCCTCAGGTCTACTGGCAGTGGGGAGAGGCCTAGACTGGAGAGAAGTGGAGGTGCTTCTCCACTGAGAAAGGACATCCACCACAGAGGAACTCAATGTGTTTGCGGATAGCTCAGTGAGTGTAGCCTCTAGCAAGCAGAAGGCCCTGATATGGGAATAGAATCCATGTTTTCCTCTTCACTCTGAACTACACAGATACAGGCCAGAAAGAAAATGAACTCACAACAGAACTTCCACAGTCTCTCAAAGGGACCTAATCCATGATGCACATCCTCCTAGCCCCAGATATAGGATACTCCCAACTCTATAGCCTGGTACCAAGAAGCTTTAGGTGGGGAGGGAGGCTGCATATGCATTCTGCAAAATATCACTGAGGCAGGAATAGTGCATAAGTAGTGGATAGATACTGAACCCTCCACACAACATGCTCCCCCAGTGCTACTGCATTATTGCCATCTAGAGGGTCACTCTTGCACTATAGCAATACAAAAGGAGAATAAAAATATCCCTGGAAAATTTGTGGTATGGAAATGGAAATGAAGCAGTATGCCTGCCCCAAAACTTTTGCAGAAACTAACAGTATTGAAAGGGAGACAATGTATAACCCCAATACCATATGATATGTTAAATTTGCTATTACTATATAGTCCCATAGGATGCGGGTGGTGCTGTGATCTAAACCACTGAGCCTAGGGCTTGCTGATCGGAAGGTCAGCGGTTTGAATCCTCGCAACGGGGTGAGCTCCCATTGTTCGGTCCCAGCTCCTGCCCACCTAGCAGTTCGAAAGCACGTCAAAGTGCAAGTAGATAAATAGGTACCACTCCAGCGGGAAGGTAAATGTCATTTCTGTGCACTGCTCTGGTTTCGCCAGAAGCGGCTTAGTCATGCTGGCCACATGACCCGGAAAAACTGTTTGCAGACAAATGTTGGCTCCTTTGACCAGTAAAGCGAGATGAGCGCCACAACCCCAGAGTCGTTTGCGACTGGACCTAACGTTCAGGGGTACCTTTACCTTTTATATAGTCCCATAAACTTTATATAAGGTAAAGGTAAAGGTACCCCTGCCCGTACAGGCCAGTCTTGCCAGACTCTAGGGTTGTGCGCTCATCTCACTCTATAGGCCGGGAGCCAGTGCTGTCCGGAGACACTTCCGGGTCACGTGGCCAGCGTGACATCGCTGCTCTGGCGAGCCAGAGCCGCACACGGAAACACCGTTTACCTTCCCGCTAGTAAGCGGTCCCTATTTATCTACTTGCACCCGGGGGTGCTTTCGAAGTGCTAGGTTGGCAGGCGCTGGGACCGAGCAACGGGAGCGCACCCCGCCGCAGGGATTCGAACCGCCGACCTTTCGATCGGCAAGTCCTAGGTGCTGAGGCTTTAACCCACAGCGCCACCTGCGTCCCTTAAACTTTATATAATGTTTAAGAAATATTATATAAGCCAGATGGCTGAGGTATAAAAAATCATATCATCATCACCATTATTGACAAAATATTTTCATGTAAAGATGGAATAAATGTTTGGATTGCTGTAGGTTATATGGAGTATTTCTGAGTGTTAATGATGGATTCTTAAAGTTCTGATGCGGAAGATAACTGGAGATGATTAGTGTAATATTTCTCTTCTGCTGATATGGTATCTTTTCTGTTGGATGGAAATAATAAAAATAGTAATAAAAGAGAAATTCAGAGGGAAATATACATCATAAGATAAAACTACACATTAAGATACATGTCAGCTACATATGTGAGTCGATCTGCCTAAGCAAAAATGTTTTTGGCAGATGCCGTAAACAGTGCAACAATAAAAATAAAGGATTTTCTTTTATATAACTGCTGCCTGCTTCTTTGGTGCAGAGGTGGACAGAAGGTATACTGGGATCTACTGGTAAATCTATCTGGGTGACTTGTAGCAGATCAATAAGTGTTTCTTATTTCCAGTTGTTTATCAACGACAACAGTGCTACAATCAATGCTATTTTTCTAGAAAAAGAGGTGCCGGAACTCCCTTGTTCTCCTAAAATGGCAATGGTGCCCACCTGAGAGGTGCCAGAACTGAGTTCCGGTAAGTTCTGGTTGAAAAAAAAGCCCTGGCTACAACCACTTTCCCCACCTAAATTAGACAGTTGAAATGAAGATAGCTAATCAGGGGTGGACTTTTGAGTCAAAGACCATAAGCTCAGTTTAGTTCTGGTTCTGAAAGCCAACTCTTAGGGCTCAGAATGTGCCCAGAAGCCCCTTGCTCTTTAAGTCTAACAGTATTATCTTCTGTTCTTGTCTCTGGGTGGCAGATACTCAGGGGCGGACAGGGGGCATCCTAGCAACAAACAAAGTAGATCCAACAAGCCTTAAGTCTGCCACATCTGTGCTTGCAAACACCACTTGAAACACCCTATGGAAGGAGTGGTGGCACTGGAGGATTCCCAAGTGAAGGGAGCTGTTTCGAAGTTAACAAGTTCCTTGTGGGATACACAGTGCCAAACACCACTGACACAGGGAAATAAAACATGTCCCTCAGAGACATAAAGCATCTTCTCAACTGAAAAATACCCCAATGCCATGCAGATGCGTGCTCTTCCATGCTGCAACAACCCAGCTAGGACTCAAGAAAGGAAGATAAATCTCTTTTGTAACGTAGGGACTGCAAGACCAGCAGTGACACTGTGCGATAGACGGACAGAAAAATCTACACCATTTCATTTGTCTGCATCAGAGAGCTTCGCTAACTCAACATTTCTGGCTGAGTCACAGTGCTAATGGATTGTCATGCCACGACGTTCCCCTGCTCACCCCAATTCCTTTTCAACCACTGGACCTCATTTCATTTGCTCACTTCCTGCTAGAATCTGATGACTTCCACATTGAGATGACAACCTGCTGAGCAAGTTGGGCATTCCTTACCTGGTGAGCACCTGCACTGTATAAAATCTGGGTTGCCTGGAGCCAGGAATCTTTGCTAACCTGGGATTGGGCCCTGTAGTTGCCCTGGAACCCTTCAGCTCAGAGCTCTCCTGCTTTCTATAAAGGCATCCATTTCGTTTGGTTCCATTGCAAACTCTTTCCACACAATGTTGATTTGCTTATGCTATCTGCTCTCTCCCAACTAGTCCTCCATTGCAGAGAGAGGATGTAATTCAGCCGTTTTGAGATATTGACAAGAGCAACGGCAGATCAACTCAACATGGATCAAACAAGAAGGCTTATGGTGTAGAGCAGAAATGAAATTACTTTCACATACAAACACAAATACCTTCTGTGAATGTAAATGCCAAATATCCCCATGTTTCCTTAGAGAATGTGTTCTAATAGCAACTACAGAAAGTAAAGAAGGGGAAGGAATCTGTTAGGTAGGCAGCAGTCAGCACCCAAGATTATTTATTTATCATCATATTCACGTGTCTCATTTCTAAAAGATTTTCCACAAGGTGACTTGCAACAAATTTCAGAGGTACTCAGGAGGATCCTTCTAGGTTTACAGACAGACAGAGTGGTATCTTGAGGACTCTGCTGTTATGGATGTGATTCTTAATGGCAGGAGGTTTAAAAGAAACATTTCCGGATGAATGAGGTAGACCATCTACTCTACTCTCCTTCCTTTTTTAGTCTGATTCATTCTCTCACTCTCTTAATTTGAGAGCTCCTCATGTGTCCACTTCCATGCTTTAGCACAAACCCTGAAGGGAAGGAATAATTTCTCCAAGAGCAGGTACCATGTAGTTTAGAAAATCCATGGTGTGACAACTGAGAGCATCTCATGCAGATTGCTGTTGTCATTTAGTGATGGCAAAGGGATGCATTTACTCCCCACCTCCCATAAGCACACTCTGTTTCCAGTCACATGTAATTCCTCCTCAAAGGCATCTGTATCTCTGGTTATTATGAGGCATAAAATAATAATAGCAAATGCTTCAAAAAAATAACGTGATCTCTCTCTCTCTCACACACACACACACACACACAGAGAGAGAGAGAGAGAGAGAGAGAGAGAGAGAGATCACATTGCAATAGTCCAAGCGGGAGATAACCAGAGCATGGACCACTCTGGCAAGACAGTGCACAGGCAGGTAGGGTCTCAGCCTGCATAGCAGATGGAGCTGGTAGACAGCCGCCCTGGACACAGAATTAACCTGTGACTCCATGGATAGCTGGGAGAAGACTCCCAGGCTGTGCACCTGGTCCTTCAGGGCACAGTTACCCCATTGAGGATCAGGGAGTTCTCCACACCTGCCCACCCCGTCCCCCAGAAACAATACTTTTGCCTTGTTGGAATTCAACTTCAATACATTAGCCGCCACCCATCCTCCAGCCACCTCCAGACACTCATATGGATGAGCAAGACTCTCTTCCCTTCCCCCACCAGCCTAAGACATTCACCTTGGTCCATTTGGTGGGTGTGCCAAGAAGTTGTACATGCCTGACTCTCTTCCCTTACTTTTCACAGCTGAGCCATGGGAGAAGAGAACCACACGGGCCCATTGCAGTTCATTCTCCTGGATGTCTCTCCCCAGCCAGAGCATCAGCATCTCTTTGCCTTGCTCTTCCTCACCATGTACCTGTTGATCCTTCTGGGGAACCTGCTGATTGTCCTGCTGGTCTACTCTGATGCTCACCTCCTCCACACACCAATGTATTTTTTCCTTAGCCACCTTTCTTTAGCAGACGTGGGCTTTGCTTCTGTGATTGTCCCCAAGATGCTGCAGAACCTCCTCTTTCAGGTCAATACCATCTCCTATGGTGGTTGCTTTTTGCAGATGTATTTCTACATAGCATTTGGCAACACAGACAGCTTCATCTTGACTTCCATGGCTTATGATCGCTACGTGGCCATCTGCCACCCATTACACTATGCCACACGCATGAACCACAAACGTTGCCTCCTACTGGTGGTTGGTTGTTGGCTCCTGGCATCTCTCCATTCCCTTCTGTATACGCTGTTAATGTCCCATCTGACCTTCTGCTCCTCTCAGGAGATCCCCCAATTCTTCTGTGAGATCTACCCATTGCTGGGACTTGCGTGCTCAGACACAAGCACTGTGAAGACCACAGCTCAAATCGAGGGCTTTTTGGATGTTTTGGGCCCATTCTTCCTCATTGTGATTTCCTACGTGTACATTTTTTACACCATTCTAAACGTCCCATCCACCAATGGGAAGCGCAAGGCCTTCTCCACGTGTGGTTCTCATCTGGCTGTGGTAGTCCTCTTCTATGGCACCCTCTGTTGGGTCTACTTGCAGCCGACCTCCTCCAGGAAGTCTGACCAGAGTAGCATTGTCGCTTCTCTCATGTACACTGTGGTGACCCCCATGCTGAACCCCTTCATTTACACCCTCAGGAATAAGGAGATGAAAGCTGCTTTGAGAAGACTGATCATCAAGATGAAAATGGTTCAAGGATGTTAGAAGACAAAGGACACCAGGGAAGATTTAAACAGGCTTCATGGTCATCCCTTCTCTGTCAAAAACCATATTTAAGTGTGGGGGTGAGAGATCTCTGAGAGTCCTCAGCATCCTCACCAAACTTAAATTCCAGAATTCTTAGGGAGAAGTTAGAACTGGTATGTAAAATCAATTTAGTATAGCTGTTTATGAATTACAGCTGATTTTCACCAGATTTTTCTGCTTAATAAAATACTGAGTGATGGGGTGTGATTTATTATGATTAATACACATTTATCCCAATCTTTTTCAATGGAGCTCAGGGTAGTTTACATTACTCCTCCTTGCCTCCTTGCGACACTCCTGTGTGGAAGATTAGGCTGGGAGAAGTGGCCCAAGTTGAAATTCACCAACCCTGATCCCAAAACGCAGAGACAATTTTGCCTCCCTCATTCACTTGAAACCTCCCCAAGATTCCATCCAAAAGTTTGTCAAAATGAACTTTTGAGATGAATTCTAGCAGCTCCCAGAATCTCTATAACACAACAGTAAAGGTAAAGGGTTAAAGGACCCCTGACTGTTTTTTCGGAGCTAGCCGACCTGACGGGAAGAGTCAGAAGGAGGAGGATTATCAGGAAGAATGGAGGAAATTTAAAGACTACTTAGCTAAATATGTTAAGATAATTTAAATTGGAAAGGCTGCAAATACCAGTTAGGCTTATGATTTAAATATGTAATGTGATGAATTAATATGTTTAAATACAGAATTGGGTAGAAAGAAAGAGGTTAAGTGATTAAGTTAATTTTAAGAGAATATTGGTTTTGGAAAATCGTTAAAATATATATATATTGAAATTCAACCAGGGGGATACAAGGAAGTCACCGAACAATGATAGGTTCAAATAAGGTAATGATGTTTGTTTGTTTGTTTGATTGTTTAAAACATTATTTGGAAAATCAATAAAAAAAATTGGGGGGGGAGGACCCCTGACTGTTATGTCCAGTCGCAAATGACTCTGGGGTTGCAGCACTCATCTCGCTTTACTGGCCGAGGGAGCCGGCATTTGTCCGCAGACAGCTTCTGGGTCATGTGGCCAGCATGACAAGTCGCTTCTGGTGAACCAGAGCAGCGCACGGAAACACCGTTTACCTTCCCACTGGAGCGGTACCTATTTATCTACTTACACTTTGACATGCTTTCAAACTGCTTGGTGGGCAGGAGCAGGGACTGAGCAACGGGAGCTCACCTGTCGCGGGGATTCGATCCTCCAACCTTCTGATCGGCAAGCCCTAGGCTCTGTGGTTTAGACCACAGCGCCACCTGCGTCCCACAACCGTCCTATAACACAGCAGTAGAAAGTATTGTTGTTATTTTTTTACAGTATTCTAATGGTATAAAAATCTCTAGAATTTAATTATTTTTAAAAAATAATGTGAGTTAATTGGAATCTAAGGGAAAGGAAGATCCTGATCATTTATATTCGGTATGTGATATTTTATTTCATACAATTTCAGATTTACTAGCATTTCTACTCATGAGAAAAATGGTTCTCATGATTTTAGATTCTGTTGTTATATGTTTACATTTTGTATGCCCTGCCTTTAGTTGGCTATATTAATGAATTTCTGTCGTTGTTTACTTGTCTCTGTGGTTCCATAACAATATGAAAACTAATAAAAATAAGTTTGAAAAATATATGATTATATAATGAGCTCATCCTGACTTACTTGCACAAAGCTTCCACACAGGTTAGACTACATCTGGTCTTTATTGTGAATTAATCTGGGTTGGTTTGTCTTCTCACTGATATAGGACAGTGAGCAGATCTGATTTCCTTGCTTGGTGTTTATGTATCTTCTCTCTTCTTAATCCACACTTTTCAGTGCATTTTCCTATCACTTTAATGACCACAAGAAGTAGTTTCTCCCCCCATAAAGTGGATTTGTTGCGCAAGGGTGATAGAGCAATCCACTTTAATTGCACAAACTTAAATTTTCCAGAATATGCTTGAATGCCTCAAGTATAAAACCGGCAGTCAAGAAGAGATCACTCCCCATAAATAGCAGACAGTTTCTGGAGATTTCATAGATACTTGTCTCTTAATTTGGAAGCTAACAGGTAGAGTGCCAGACTACACCCAAGGAATACAGAGCGATAAATCGCAAACTAAACAACTCTGTATGTAGTTTACAAAAACTCATTAATTACAAAGGCAAGCAGTCCAAATATTTCTGAAATAAGTCCATGAGAGAAACTCTCTATGCGTATACTTGTGCTGGTGCAGTCCCAGTGGAACTCCTACAACAAGATACCCAGATTTCATTCTCTGTTTCGCGAATCTTCTTCTGGATGGCCCAAAAAGGAACTATACAATGGCAGTTCAATGCTCCACCAAATAGATCAGCTTCATCCTTGGAACAACACTTTGCTCATCTTTCAAAAAAGAGCAAAGTCCAAGTGTTTGGACAGCTTGGCTTTGAGATACTGTTGCGCAAGTCATTCTAATTTTGGCATTGTATATATATTATTTAAGGTTTCATGTAACAGAAGCTGTTGAAATGCTGTACATTATTGTTAATGAGTTTTTGTAAACTACATACAGTGGTACCTCAGGTTACAAACAGTTCTGCTTACGAACGCTTCAGGTTATGAACTTCACAAACCCAGAAGTAGGTGTTCCGGGTTGCGAACTTTGCCCTGGGATACGAACACAATCCGCTTCCGGGGCCACAACAGGCCTATGTAGGGAATGCGTGCCTCGGGTTAAGAACGCTTCGGGTTAAGAACGGACTTCCAGAACGAATTAAGTTTGTAACCCGAGGTACCACTGTACAGAGTTGTTTAGTTTGTAAGAGGTAGATTGCCAGCTGCTACTTTCATTCCATCCCATCCATCTCATTTCTTACATTCCCTATCGTCCCGTAAATTTGTAACTGCAAAGATGATCACGAAAACACCATGAAAGAAACCTCTGCAAACATTGCTCCATTCCTGGAGGCTTTACATTATTCCACTACTTTGCTCCCTAAGGGACAGATGGTCTTGGCCTTACATGTTGATATGGATGGAACAGTGGAGAACTGTGCCAATTAATAAGCTCTCTCTGGCACAGTTCTCCACTGCTATCAATACTCCTGGGGACTATTTCTCAGCTGAACTAAACAGTTTATTTATGTATCTATTTTATTCATATCACACATTTCTCCCAGTTGTGATTTCTCACAGATCCTAATGGTCAAGGAGGTGTTCATTGCTGCAGCCCAGCAAAGTTTCAACCTTCAAGAGGCCTCTTTCCTCCTTGGAGATTGCACAACTTCCATGAAATGAAATATATGCTCCATTCAGGATTACAAGGTGCAGTGGAACTTGTACATCCAAGATAGAGAAGGCATCCTGTTGATTTTAAACAACTGCTGCCTTACACTTTGTAATGTTTTTATCTATCATCCAAATAAAAGAGATCTTATTGAGCCTGCAGGAAGGAAAAAAGAATCTCTCTCAGCCAGTTTCCAAGCTGGCTATGATGCTTTCTGTCCTGAATGGATATATTTTCTACCACATACAGATTCCTGTTTTGTCAACAGGCGGGTGCACCAACTTTGTGGAACTAGGACCTCCTTATCAGGTGAGTCCCAGTCACTTTATTTAAGAGCCATATAACTGGTGTGCATCACCATCTCCTGCTCCCATAAATCAGGAATGGAGAATTGATGGTCCAGATGTTGAACTTCAATTCTCTCCGTCTTGGTGGCTGGGGCTGATGGGAGCTGGAATTGAGTGAGGAGGACTGAAGGTATGAGAAACATGGAAGCCAAATCCAGACATTTTGAACATTGGACATTTATTTACTTCTAGCAAGTCTTCATCACATGGTTCTTTGTATGCAGTTTAAAGTAAATAAAATTACAAATTCCAGGGAGGTACCTAGGAAACGGCCTCATATTGCCCAATCAGACCATTGGTCCACCATGAGATTCTCAGATGATGGGCTGTATAGAAATGGAATACATAATATAATAATAATAATAATAATAATAATAATAATAATAATCCTCTTTTAAAGTCATCCAAACTGGTGGTCATCCTGTGGAGAACATTCCATAGTTTAAGTAAGCACTCTTTGATGAATCAATGAATCACTTTCATTGGTCCATGCTGAATCTTGCAGTGTTCGGCGTTTTTGGATGGTACGGATTTCTAGTATTATGTGGGAGGTGAGAAGAACAATGCACAGCGTTCCAAATCACATATTTGTATGTTGGCATTATGATATTGACATGGGGCAGATTGATTTTTCAATCCCTTCCCCAACAATCCCAAAAATGGAATTTGCCTTTTTTGTGGGTGCAGCACACTTGGTCATTGTCTTTGAGCTACATCAAGACGAACATGTTGAATACCGTCTCTTCCAATTGTTCCAGTTGTTCATCAGTATGCGGATGATACCCAGCTCTACCTCTCTTTCAAATCAGAACCAGTGAAGGCGGTGAAGGTCCTGTGTGAGTGTCTGGAGGCAGTTGGAGGATGGATGGCAGCTAACAGATTGAGGTTGAATCCTGACAAGACAGAAGTACTGTTTTTGGGGGACAGGAGGCAGGCAGGTGTGGAGGACTCCCTGGTCCTGAATGGGGTAACTGTGCCCCTGAAGGACCAGGTGCGCAGCCTGGGAGTCATTTTGGAATCACAGCTGTCCATGGAGGTGTAGGTCAATTCTGTATCCAGGGCAGCTGTTAACCAGCTCCATCTGGTATGCAGGCTGAGACCCTACCTGCCTGAGGACCGTCATGCCAGAGTGGTGCATGTTCTCACTTGGACTACTGCAATGCGTTCTATGTGGGGCTACCTTTGAAGGAAGCCCACCCTCTTCCTGTTGGAAGCCGCCCAGAGTGGCTGGGGAAACCCAGCCAGATGGGCGGGGTATAAATAGTAAGTTGTTGTTGTTGTTGTATTCCGAAACTACATAAAAAGAGGTGTGGGAAAGCCCAGAATATAAGGAGGAAAGGAACAGGAAGGAAGCAGCCCTGATGTTATAGGAGAATGGGGGCATTTTGGGCCATGTAAAATAAAGTGACTTCCCCCAAAGAAGCCTGAGAACTGCAAAGGGTGCTGGGAACTGTAGTTCTGTGAAAGGTAAAATACAATTCCCAGGATTCTTCAGGGGAAGTCATGCTTTACATGTATGGCATAAATGTAGCCTACATCTCCTTAAGTACCAGGATGGAAGAAAATAAACAGGGGCATATAAGGAAGGGCATAGCACCATCTGCCAGCGCCTGGAGCGGGTGCACCCTGCCGATGCTGATGGGCAGGCACAGGGCACAGAGGGTCTCTTCACCCTCTGTGCCCCCCAGCCTTCACTGCTGCCAGGTGGGCATTTGTACACCAGGCTGGGGCTGGGCACAGAGATCGAAGAGCATCTTCTGTGCTCCCCAGCCCCTGTTGCTGATGGGCGGGTGCTCATGTGCCAGGGGGGCACCCAATGTGCGCCCGGGGCAACGGCCCTCCTGGCACACACACACACCCCACACACCATGGGACATAAATGTACTCAATAAATACAACCCTATCTCAGTAAAGTGGCTCACACATTTTGCCGCACAGACATGTGAAGTAGCTTGTAGCCTTGATTCAAATTGTTTGTGTGTGTGTCTTTTGTGAGCTCAGCTGCCACATTCTCCAAAGGGAAATCTGTGACCTGTTGCAGGTAAGCAAGACCCAACCGAACCCTTCTGGTTGTGTGGCTAAGTTGCAAGGTTGCACAGCAGCAGTTAAACGGTATCTTGGTCTCTCATTCCCTTTTACAGATGTAAAATGGCCAGAAAGAACCAGACAAGCATCTCTGAAATGGTCCTTTTGGGTATCTCTGCCCTAGCAGAACACCAGAGTCTCCTCTTCTTTCTTTTTCTCTTCATCTACCTGTTAACCCTACTAGGGAACCTTTTGATAATCCTGCTGATCCGCTTTGATGACCACCTCCGTCACACCCCAATGTACTTCTTCCTCAGCTACCTCTCGCTGGCAGATGCCATGTTTGCTTCCACCACTGTTCCTAAGATATTGATGAGTTTGATGTCCGAAACCAAGACCATCTCCTTCAATGGCTGCTTGATCCAGATGTATTTCTTCTTGACATTTGGCAACACTGATAATTTCCTCTTGGCCTGCATGGCTTATGACCGCTATGTGGCCATCTGCCGCCCTTTACATTACACCACCATGATGAGCCACAAGTGCTGCCTCGTTTTGGCATCTGGGTCCTGGATCGTTTCCGCTCTCCACTCCTTGCTCTACACGCTTCTGGTATCCCGCCTGTCTTTCTGTGCCTCTAGGGAGATCCCCTACCTCTTCTGTGATGTCTATCCTCTTTTGGAACTCTCCTGCTCTGACACAGGGCTCATAAAAATTCTGGTGCAGACAGAGGGAGTTGTGGATATCCTAGGGCCTTTTGTTCTCATCTTCATCTCCTACATCCACATCTTCTGTGCTATCATGAGAGTCCCACCTACTGCTAGGAAGCGCAAAGCCTTCTCCACCTGTGGCTCCCACTTGGCTGCAGTGGTCTTGTTCTACGGCACCATCAGCTCCCTCTACTTCCAGCCTGCCTCTGCTTACGCAGCCCAGAAAGGCACCGTCATCTCTCTCTTGTACGCAGTGGTCACACCCATGCTGAACCCCTTCATCTACAGCCTGAGGAACCAGGACATAAAGGCAGCTGCACGGAGGCTTCTCGACAGGATCAGAGATTTTCTGAGGAAGCAGGCACCTGGAAAAGGCACAGTGTCTTTTTCATAAATGCATTGAGTGCGTTGCTGATGGTGGTGATGTTGATGTTGATATATTAAAAAATTCTGTCCGTAAAAAGAATAATCAAGGCGGCTAGAAAAATCAATAAAATACACCAAACAATTTAAAGATTAATGTTGCACACAAACTACAGCTGCTAAACAAACCAGCAGCAATCTTAGAAAGTTAGAGTTGCTACCACACTTGATATTGACTTTTCCACACTTGGGAAAGACACATTTTGCTCACCCACTTTCTTTCTTTTCTTTTTTTCTTTATTAAAGATTTTCTTGATTTACAAAAGAGTTTGCAATGTCTCTCTCTCGTATTCCCCCCCCCATGTAACATTTTTACAAATCAGTTTCATTTGTTGAGACATTAGGAAGAAAAGGGGGAAAGAGGTGGGGGGAGATGGGGGTGGGGTGGCGATGTTTCTATTTCACTTACTATATGTAGGGTTTGGTGTCAGCGTTGCTTGTGCAGGTTCTTTGCTGTTTGCTTGTGTTCCTTTGGTGGTGAGAGAGGTTGGGGTTGGCCTAGGGTGTGGTTGTTCATTTGTGGTGCTCACCCACTTTTGACAAGAACCTCCTTGACATCAGGCATGCCCTCCCTGTTTCCCCTGTTTAGCCTTCATCCCCACTCAGAAAATCCGACTTTTTGTAGGACAATGGAGTAGCTTTGAAATTACTCCAAGGGAAGATGACTCATCATCACACAGCAGAGTGGTCTTTGTCAGTTAAGGATGATGTAGCAATTTCCTTCTCTGTAAGTCCACCTCTCCTCTCTATGACGGAGCTCAATATGGGACAGCTGCATATTCCTGCATGGCAGGGGGCTGCACTAGGAGTGTCCAATTTCCAAGAGACTGTGATCTATTCCCAGTATAAATAAACTAGCAGTGATCTACCCATTGAATTGACCGAAGTTGTTGAGTTTTTTGGGGGGAAGGGTCAGCCAAAGTTGTTGAGCCTTTGGGGGGGGTTGGGGGGGCATCAGGGTCCCGCAATCGACCAGGTACATCCCACAATTGATAGGTAGATCATAATCAACCTGTTAGACGCCCCTGCACTCAGGGTCACTTCCAATTCTACAATTCTAAAAAGCAACATAACAATTATATATTATGTGCGACTAACTCCAGTTAATATCCTGGCAGCCACATTTTGAACCAATTGAAATCTCTAAACACTCTTTAATTGCACTTGATTTTCGTTGTATTATTGTAGTCTAATACAGTGTTTCCCAACCGGTGTTCCGCGGCACACTAGTGTGCCGCGAGACGTTGCCTGGTGTGCCGCGGGAAAAATTAAAAAATTCGAAAGATATCCGGAGAGGCGGCCTTCAGGTGAGTTTTAATTTTAATTTTCCTTCTCCCACTTAATGCCCCACGCTCGCCCGAGCAGCTTGCAGTCCTCGGTAACCACGGCGACCCGAGGGAGGGGAGGGAACAGGGAAGTCGAGGGCGGCGGCGAGCCGCAATGACGTCAGTGGGCCGCGCCGCCTCGCCCTGGCACGGTGTGAGAGCCCCGGCTAGTGGCGCGAGCTTCGGAATAAGTGGGATCCGCGTGCGCGAGACCGAGATCGCGGGTAAGGAGCTCAGCCCTGGGCAGGAGGAAGCGGGGCCGCGCGTGCGGGCCACATCCCCACAGAGAGCGAGCCTCCCCCGGCCCACCACTCCGGGCAGGTCCACTCGCATGAGGGGGCGGCGATGGCGACGGCCGGCAGCTTGCCTGCAATGCCATCCCTCGAGCAGGCGAGGAGCCCGGAGGCTACCAGATGCGAGTCCTCTTTCCCACCCTGCTCGGGAGTCCAGAGCACTTGGTCGCATTCAGGATCTAGAGTGGGGAAGCGGGGCTTGTGTCTGGGCTGGACACATTGGGCTGCCTGTGCCGCTCGACCTGCGGGGAGAAATCAGGGTGGGAGTCACGACCGTGAGGCAGGGCTGCCAAGTGTGGCAGAAGAGGACACGGCCGTCGCACCTGTCCTTAGGTAGGAGCTTCTTCCGTGTCGACCTGCTGCCCTAAAGTCTTGGCTTTTTTCTTGGCTTTTTGGCAGTTGGCACAGAAGGAAGGCAAGGGGGAGGGGAAAAAATTGAAACTTACACTTTCGTGCGTCCCTCCCGGCGTGACGCTGCGCGCTGACGTCACGGGGCTGTAATGGTGGTGTGCCTCGAGATTTTTTTCATGAAACAAGTGTGCCTTTGCCCAAAAAAGGTTGGGAAACACTGGTCTAATATGCATATCATAAATACATGTGCTGTGAGTTGGGGGCAGGGTGCATGCCTGAGACTCTCTTAATTCCTGGATCCAGCAAGGTTTCAGTTGCTGGAACAGCCAGGCCAGCTTCCGGAAGAAGTAATGGTTCCCCAAGTATGGGTCATTAAGGTAACAAAGGAAGTGGCTCTGTGTCAGAAGACAAATGGGTGGGCCCTCTCCCTCAACTGGTTGTTAGTTATAAGGACAAAAGCCAGAGTTGTGTTGTGTGTGAACTGGAAGCTAGAAGCAGGCTGCAGGCTGAAGCCTGTGAGGGAGAGACATGCTTGATTTCTGCTGGAATCCAAGGCTGTGACTATGGGAGAAGCATGTGTAAATAAACCATATATCACAAAGACACCACAATCTCATCTGTCCCTCATTCCGAGGAAAGTGAACCCCGAGTAAGTGCCTAGAGCTCCTGGAATCTTGCACCACTGGGAGATTGGGTTGGCGTGCAACACATGGATGACTGTGGCCAAGTCTGACTTCTCCAGGAAAAGGACAGAACAGCTACACCAACCAAAAGTGTTTAAGAAGCCATCCCAACCACCTGGGCAATCTCAGGCAGTGCTGGAGTACCCATAAGCAACAAAGCAAAGTGCAACCCCATCATACACATTCTTCAGGACTCGTGACTCCCCAGTAAATAGTATCTCTGTCCTGCTAGATTAATTTTCCACTTGTTCAGGCTACTCCTTCAGTGTACCTTGATACTAGTTCAGAAATGTCATAATCTCCACCATCTGCCTAGTATGTACGTAAGCGGTCCTGTGTCCTCCTTTAAAGTCCTCTGTTGGAAGGCATTCTCTATGTGAAAGGCTGTCTGGCTCCAAGTCCATTTTAAAGATAAGTAACCACTGTGCCACTTGGGCTTGCTGATCGAAAGGTCAGAAGTTCAAATCCCCACGACGGGGTGAGCCCCCATTATTCGGTCCCAGCTCCTGCCAACCTAGCAGTTCAAAAGCACACAGTGCAAGTAGATTATGGTTACCAGATGTCCCCGTTTCCCGGGGACAGTCCCCCGATTTACAAATCTATCCCTGGACAAAATTCGTCCCCAGAATGTCCCCGGATTTATCTTTTAAGTGTTATAGATTTATTGGTAGGGAATTAATGTTTCGTGATTGGTTCAGCGGCACAAGACACATCATATGGGGACTTCTGGCAAGGCAAAATGGCAGGCGCCACGGCAGCGAACAGCTCCTGAAGCCAGCCAGAGCCAACTGCGCTACCAGGCTGGCTCCGGGCTGCTGAGAATGCTGCTGCCAGTGCCACTGCCAAGGGGGAACCGGGGATGCCCAGTGCGTCAACTGGGGAACCTGCTGATTCCCCCCCCTTGACCCAAATCGAGCTGGGAGTGAGAGCACCCAGCCTATTGCCCAGCAGTGCTCCGGGGCCAGGAAAGCCCCGGAGCCAACGCAGGGAGAAGGAAGAGAGAGAAAGAGGAAGGAGAAAAAAGAGAGGAGCCCCGGCCTTGCTGCGCCACTGCCGCCACTGAGGAGAAGAGGTAGAAGAGCATGGGGAGGGCAAGGACATGTGGCCGAGCCCAGGCCTGACCCGAGCCCACTCCATGGCGGCTAGCACTCCAAAAGAGCAGGCCGGGGCCCAGAGGAAGGCCGCAAAGGAAAGCCAGAGGAGACCGCAGAAGAGAAGATATTACTTATTTTTTAAAAAAACACCTTTTTTAATAACTTCTTTTTCTCTTTTCAAAAAAAAAGAAGTATCCCCGGATTCTTTGAAAAAAATCAGGTAACCTGATTTAGTAGATAAATAGGTACCACTCCGGCAGGAAGGTAAATGGCATTTTCGTGCACTGCTCTGGTTTCGCCAGAAGCGGCTTAGTCATGCTGGCCACATGACCTGGAAAAACTGTCTGCATAAGTAGACAAACACTGGCTGCCTGTAAAGCAAGATGAGCACCGCAACCCCAGAGTCATTCATGACTGGACTTAATTGTCAGGGGTCCCTTTACCTTTACCTTTTAACCCCAAATGGGAGAGCAAGTAGATGGCCCTTGAAGCTGCCTACCCACGACTAGCACCTAGACAGCAGACCAGGCAAGCACACCCAGGTCACCTGCAATGGCTGGGGAGATTTGTTGTCTTTCTGTTTAAACGATATTAACTATATCCAAGATTACACCTATATGTATAAATTAACACGTACAACTGTTATGCAAATCAGCATCCTCTTTTTTGGAGAGCTGGGTGTCATGGACTGATGGAGTCTCAGCCTAAACCTCAGGATGATGTCTCCTAGTGGCTTCATGTAGACCAGAGATGAGGAACCTCAGACTGGGCTCACCAGAGGTCCCAATTCAGCCCGTGAGGCCACCTCGCCCCAATCACACCCACAAAGGCCTGGTTGCAAAGGAAGAAGAAGAAGAAGAAGAAGAAGAAGAAGAAGAAGAAGAAGAAGAGGAGGAGGAGGAGGAGGAGGAGGAGGAGGAGGAGGAGGAGGAGGAGTAGTAGTAGTAGTTTGGATTTGATATCCTGCCTTTCACTCCCTTAAAGGAGTCTCAAAGCGACTAACATTCTCCTTTCCCTTCCTCCCCCACAACAAACACTCTGTGAGGTGAGTGGGGCTGAGAGACTTCAAAGAAGTGTGACTAGCCCAAGGTCACCCAGAAGCTGCATGTGGAGGAGCGGAGACACGAACCCGGTTCCCCAGATTACAAGACTACCACTCTTAACCACTACACCACGCTGGCTCTCAAGTGCACTTTAAGAGCACTCCTGGGGGTTCCTTAGTAAGTGGGAATTGCATTTGGTGCCTTTTGCTCAGAGCATCCAAGGGCAGCCAATACTTGCTGAAAGCAAGAAGCAGGAAGTGAATCATTTGATGCAAGCTAATATGCAAAGGCAAATGCTTCGTCCTGACATCATAATGATGTCACGTGATATTTCTGCACCTGGTTGCATTTTATTGAAAAATGAATGTCTGCAGCATTTTAGTGCAATGGTATCCCATATATACATTTTGATATGGAAAATTTGCCTAATAAACACATTTGCAAAGCAACATTCCCATTCCCTAATATAACACACTTTTAATGTTTTAATAGGAGGTGCTGCTGGCCTCTTCCCACCCCCAGGGAGGAAATGGTGGGAGCTGCCCTCTGGAGTCTCCTGGGATCTGCACCCCTCTGGTGTGATTCAGAGAAGGCTCCACTCCCAGTGCAGTGGCCTTTGATTCCCAATTCATCCACTGGGTAAGGTTGATTTGATTCCCACCCTTATTCCAAATGTAGCTCTTCACTTCTCCCTTGTCCCCCATATATATCCCCCCCACCTTGTTCCTGATGTAGATCTTCATGCCCCTCCCTACAGTGGGGGCATTTCATGGTTCAGCTCAGGTGCCAAAATGTCTTAGCCCTGCCCTGCCTGACATAGGCAGAAGTGTTTCAGTATAAAGTGTTGTAAATTTAAACAGGAAAAACAGGTAGAGAAAAACGGGACTCCACATCACCATCTGGTGGCACAATGTTATTTCACACATGTTGTTGTTGTTCTTTAGTCGTTTAGTCGTGTGCGACTCTGCGTGACTCCATGGACCAAAGCACGCCAGGCACTTCTGTCTTCCACTGCCTCCCGCAGTTTGGTCAAACTCATGCTGGTAGCTTTGAGAACACTGTCCCACCATCTACTCCTCTGTCGTCCCCTTCTCCTTGTGCCCTCCATCTTTCCCAACATCAGTGTCTTTTCCAGGGAGACTTCTCTTCTCATGAGGTGGCCAAAATATTAGAGCCTCAGCTTCACAATCTGTCCTTCCAGTGAGCACTCAGGGCTGATTTCCTTAAGAATGGAGTGGTTTGATCTTCTTGCAGTCCATGGGACTCTCAAGAGTCTCCTCCAGCACCATAATTCAAAAGCATCAATTCTTCAGCGATCAGCCTTCTTTATGGTCCAGCTTTCACTTCCATACATCACTACTAGGAAAACCATAGCTTTTACTATACAGACCTTTGTTGGCAAGGTGATGTCTCTACTTTTTAAGATGCTGTCTAGGTTTGTCATCGCTTTTCTCCCAAGAAGCAGGCATCTTTTAATTTCGTGGCTGCTGTCACCTTCTGCAGTGATCATGGAGCCCAAGAAAGTAAAATCTCTCACTGCCTCCATTTCTTCCCCTTCTATTTGCCAGGAGGTGATGGGACCAGTGGCCATGATCTTCGTTTTTTTGATGTTGAGCTTCAGACCATATTTTGCGCTCTCCTCTTTCACCCTCAATAAAAGGTTCTTTAATTCCTCCTCACTTTCTGCCATCAAGGTTGTGTCATCTGCATATCTGAGGTTGTTAATATTTCTTCTGGCAATCTTAATTCCGGCTTGGGATTCATCCAGCCTTTCGCATGATGAATTCTGCATATAAATTAAATAAGCAGGGAGACAATATACAGCCTTGTCATACTCCTTTCCCAATTTTGAACCAATCAGTTGTTCCATATCCAGTTCAAACTGTAGCTTCTTGTCCCACATAGAGATTTCTCAGGAGACAGATGAGGTGATCAGGCACTCCCATTTCTTTAAGAACTTGCCATAATTTGCTGTGGTTGACACAGTCAAAGGCTTTTGCATAGTCAATGAAGCAGAAGTAGATGTCTTTCTGGAACTCTCTAGCTTTCTCCATAATCCAGCGCATATTTGCAATTTGGTCTCTGGTTCCTCTGCCCCTTCGAAATCCAGCTAGCACTTCTGGGAGTTCTCGGCCCACATACTGCTTGAGCCTTCCTTGTAGAATTTTAAGCATAACCTTGCTAGCGTGTGAAATGAGTGCAATTGTGCGGTAGTTGGAGCATTCTTTGGCACTGCCCTTCTTTGGGATTGGGATGTAGACTGATCTTCTCCAATCCTCTGGCCACTGCTCAGTTTTCCAAACTTGCTGGCATATTGAGTGTAGCACCTTAACAGCATCATCTTTAAAATTTTAAATAGTTCAGCTGGAATACCATCACTTCCACTGGCCTTGTTATTTGCAGTGCTTTCTAAGGCCCATTTGACTTCACTTTCCAGGATGTCTGGCTCAAGGTCAGCGACCACACTACCTGGGGTGTATGAGCCATCCTTATCTTTCTGGTATAATTCCTCTCTGTATTCTTGTCACCTCTTCTTGATGTCTTCTGCTTCTGTTAGGTCCTTACCACTTTTGTCCTTTATTATGGTAATCTTTGTACGAAATGTTCCTTTCATATCGCACATACAACACATATAAATTGCTTTTCGTTACCAGTCTAGCTGAATCCATAGAGGTTAAAAAGCAAGGTCGGTTGTAGTCTGTTGCAATCTTTGGTGGCCTGATTTCATGTAAACAGATATGATACAATCCAGTTTATGGGGGGAAACATAAGCTGGGGAAAGGGTGGAATTTTTATACTTGATATATAGAACATGATTGCTAAGTTTTCTTTTTAGAGTTGAAGAGCAGCTATTCTCAAGTGGCTTGTGAGAGATCTCTACAGGCTCCCAATGCAAATCCTTTAACGAGACCCTTCCTGTTTCTTATCAGAACTTAGAGATACTTAAGCAAAGCAGTTCTGTTGGGTTTTGTTCCATTTTACCCAGTGCTTTTGTTCAAGCCTGAAGATCAAGTGGGCAAGGAGTTAAGAGCATCCAAACAGAGGCAGGTAAGGATGGATTTAGTTACCATCTTGAGGCATGCCACAGTCTCTGATGCCCCATTAACTTTTAACACAATGTCTGTAACAGTGTGCTAGGCACCCTTTATTTAGACCTTCATCAGCTGGATGAGACGGAATGCGAGTCTGTGGTGGGACTGAATTTGTCTGGCCCAGACCAAGGCAAGGCAAGGCAGCCCTTCTGATGCAAGATCAGCCCAGCCATAGTTTGGAGAGAAAATGCTCTTGTGCATGTTCCTATAGGCATGAGCAACAGAGATCTGTGAATGGAAAGCCTGTGGATATGTTGTGCACAAGGATGTAAAATGTGGACATTTGATATATGGAAGCACAAAATAGGTAAAGTGATTGTGGGACAGTAGAAGACCTCTAATATGTGCTGTAGTTTCAGCTTGATTGCTCACCTTCACATCCTAAGCTTGTTATTGTGAATTATACTGCCCCATTTGGGGGGGGCAGTGTTTACCGCAGTCTTCCACCTCTTTGGGTGCTTTCAGATGAGGGCATAACTTGCAAATGGGTCCTTGAAACATCACAACAATGTGGTGTGTCCTCTGCAAAAAAACACACTCCTTTGCATGCATGAGGAACTCTGATCCTACAATAAACAGCCATCAGGAAGCCCCCTTCATTGTTTGCACTGGAGCAGACTAATAGACTGTTTCCAGAAAACCTGTTTATTAATTTGCAAAGAGATTAGATGATAATGGGGATTTAATTAGCATTCATTCTGATTTGTGTGCAGAGATACTGCATTATACTTCAAAGCAAGTGTTAGCTAGGGTTGCCACCCATCCCTAAAAAAATGTGAGTGTCTTTTTCTTTTCTTTTTTGAGAAAAGTGTCCCCTGTCCTGTTTGGACTTCAAACACAACTACTTTTTCTTCACATATTCAGGCTCCTTCTCAAAATTGCATGGGCAGACAGTGGGTCTGGTGGGAGCAGGAGAGCAAGAATTTGAATGGGAGCTTGTGCAGGCAGAGAGTGGGTCCATGGGAGATTAGGGAGTGAGAGCAAGAGTTATTGCGGGAAGAGGGTGGGCTACTTAATCCACACTTTCAGAAGCCACATGAAAACTGAAACACAGCCATCCTTCAAATTTCATGCTTCTCTGAACTTTGCATTGTGGCTCTTCAGTCAAGTAATGTGTACAAAAATGAATTTACTAGGCAAGTGCTCATAAAAAATGCATATATTACCAAAAAGAACATACAAAATTGCATTACAATTTGCTTTGTAAAAGCATGCATATAAAATATGCAAATTGGGGGGAAATTGCACTAAAATCCTGATGAATTATCACACAGACATAAAATAAAAAGCACACTGATGTAGGAATGTGGAGAATTGAATTTAAGATTATAGGAACCAAAGGAACCAAAATGGACATGTTCACACATCCCTACACCCAGTTCAATATCCATGAAACTTTGTGATCAGACCATGATGTGATCTTACTAGACGTGATAACAGCAAACCCATATTTTAGAACATGGCTCACCATCCCCCCAAAATATGTTCTGTGTCTCCCTCTCTCTCTCTCCCTCCCCATCTTCTGTCTATATATCTGCTGCTGCACTTGACTGTCTAGTAAGATAAAGGTAAAGGTACCCCTGCCCGTACGGGCCAGTCTTGACAGACTCTGGGGTTGTGCACGCATCTCACTCAAGAGGCTGGGGGCCAGCGCTGTCCGGAGACATTTCCGGGTCACGTGGCCAGCATGACAAAGCTGCATCTGGCGAGCCAGCGCAGCGCACGGAACGCCGTTTACCTTCTCGCCAGTAAGCGGTCCCTATTTATCTACTTGCACCCGGGGGTGCTTTCGAACTGCTAGGTTGGCAGGCGCTGGGACCGAGCAACGGGAGCGCACCCCACCGCGGGGATTCGAACCGCTGACCTTTCGATCGGCAAGCCCTAGGCGCTGAGGCTTTTACCCACAGCGCCACCCGCGTCCCACGTCTAGTAAGATGCAGAGGGCTAAATGACTATCCACTTTCCCCCACTCAGTCATTCCCTCTCTATACTTCATTCACATGTGCCCTGTGGTCCCTGAATCTGTCAGATTCTTCTTTGATCAGTTATTGCCTTGGTTTTCCATGGCATCATCAGGTTGCAAAAGATAATGCATGCCATGTGAATATGTTACTTTGTTCCACAGATTTACGATCACGACAAATACTCTTAAATTGACTCATTGGGGGCAATCTCAGCCCGAGATCTTGGGACACTGCCAGTCGCAATAGAGATGACTGGGCAAGGTAAACCAATGGCTTTACTGAATATAATGCATCATTATGTGTTGAAAGCACATTATAGGCAGCCCTGAACCATTTTTTCAATTTTTTCATAATTATAAAATAATTTTAACAATTGGGAAATGCACCAGGTCATCACATGCTTGTCGCGTGTTG